ATCTGATTGGCTAAGGTACATAAAAATGTTATAATCTGATTGGCTAAGGTAGATAAGAATGATATATTCTGATTGGCTAAGTTATACATAAGAATATTACATTCTGATTGGCTAAGGTACATAATGGACGTTCGCGGTGTCCATTACTTCGCCAAGAACTTAACAAAACCAATTTGAAGAAGCAGAATAATATTTCAGCTGTGTTAATCCTTAATACTGTAGAAAAGGAAACTTAAGACACGCATACGCTGAAACCAAGTTGGGATATCATTTTTTATATATTTTTATTTTTCTTAAAGCCATATTGTTTCACATTACATGTTATCTATCTGTATTACAGCCCTAACTATGTTGCTGTTGTGGTTTATTAACGCACAGACCTCATGTGGTAATCTATCCAATTTCTGAACCGAGCTACTCGTGCAAACACGCTGAAGGCGTCTCTTGTGTCGCACCGTGGAGAACCCCAGCTAACAGCACCCTGGAGGACCCATCGACCATCACGTGCCTGACAAACAAATGGACCACCACTGTCACCATGACAACCACTCTTGATAGAGCCTTTCTTGCCAGCACATATCATGTTGTCAGTGATTTTAATGTGTGACGGCACAGCGGGGCTGGCGTCTACTTTCTTTTGACAGCATTTCCTGCTGGCGAGTGGAAGACGTGCCTGCTGTAAGGTATGATGGCTACCACCAGGGTGATGGATCTTACCCCATCCTGTAACAATAGTAATCAATACGTAACGTTAAATATATGGAGCATTTGGAAGAGAAGGGACGAGTATTTCTAACCTGTGATATAACAGCTGGCATTCCGAGGAACTATTTCATCTTGTCTAGGAAGACAGGCTGGTTTTATCCTATCGTTGATCATCACTGGACGAGACAGATAAATCAATGCGATGTCAGTATCAATCCTTGTTGCATTCCAGCTTGGATGAACAGTGATGTTGGAAGCGTATACTGACTGCTCCGTTCCTTCAGCTATGCTTTGGTTGTGTTCTCCAACAACAATTTCGTAGCTAGAGGAAAGAAAACGAGACAAACTTTTGTAAAGTATCCTTTGTATTGCAGCACATTACATTACCTTCTGGCC